GATTCCTTGTTCCGGCCCCTCAAAAGGCTCATCCTGTAGTACTGGTGACAGGGGAGTACAGGGCCCTGATTGCAGGCTGCTGTTGCTTAATGCCAGGTCCGTTGTCAGCAAAGCCCCCCTTGTCCATGATTTAATATTGGACAGCGGGGCGGACCTGGCATGTATAACCGAAACCTGGCTGGGCCCTGAGGGGGGTGTTTCCCTCTCGGAGATGTGCCCGGACAGGTTTGTGGTGCTTCATCAGCCTCGACATCAGGGCAGGGGTGGGGGAGTGGCAGTCATCGCTTGGAAGTCCTTGAGCCCTCGTGGGATTCCTGCCCCGGAGGTTGTTGGGTGTGAGTCCCTCCTATTGAAGTTGGGTTCACGGGTTCAGTTGGGCTTGCTGCTGACGTACCTACCTCCCAGCTGTGTTGCAACAGCCCTGCCTGCGTTGCTGGAGTCAGTAGCCGGGTTGGCGGTGGAGTTCCCCAGACTTATAGTACTGGGGGACTTTAATCTGCCATCACTCGGCGATCGCTCAGAGGCGGCGCAGGAGTTCATGGCTTCCATGGCAACCATGGACCTGACCCAGGTAATTCAGGACACAACTCATAGGGGTGGTCACACACTCGACCTTGTGTCTCTCTCGGGGCAATGGAGACATGATCTGGAATTAAGGGGAATAGAGATCTCGCCCTTGTCATGGACAGATCATTTCCTATTGAGGCTGGACTTCAGAGCATCACTCCCCCATCGCAGGGAGAGGGAGCCGACTAGGTGGTTCCGCCCCAGGCGCCGAAGGGACCCAGATCGGTTCCAGGAGGAGCTTGGGGAAATACCTGACTCCCTTGTCCACAACTCGTCCGGGTCCCTGGTTGCGGCCTGGAATGAGGCGGCGTCCGGGGCCCTGGATCGAATTGCGCCTTTGCGACCTCTCTGTGGTGGTAGTCCCTGGAGGGCCCCTTGGTTTACTGAGGAGCTCCGGGAGATGAAGCGCCACAAGAGACGTCTAGAGCGACGTTGGAGGGCCAGTAACTATGAATCTGACCGATCACTATTAAGAGCCTATCTTAGGACTTATTTAGTGGCGATAAGAGCGGCAAAGCGTGTTCACTTTTCCGCACTTATTGCGTCCGCAGAATCTCGCCCGGCCGCCTTATTTAGGGTGACCCGCTCCCTTCTTAAAGTGGAGGAGGCGGAGGAACCCTTGCAGGGAGAGCTGAGGAGTTTGTTCAGTTTCTTTCGGACAAAATCGCTCAGATTCAGAGAGACCTGGACTCCGATTGGGCAGTGCCAGCCGAGTTGCCAGGGGCTGGTCTTAGTCATGTTATCTGGAGCGAGTTTGAGCCTGTGACCCCTGATGAAGTGGACAAGGCCGTGAGGGCAATGAATGCCGCCAACTGTTTATTGGACCCGTGCCCCTCCTGGCTGGTTTCTGCCAGTAGGGAGGTGACACGAGGCTGGCTCCAGGCGATAATCAACGCCTCCTTGATGGAGGGGTCTTTCCCGCAACCTGGTGAGGCCCCTCCTCAAGAAGCCTTCCCTGGACCCAGCTGTTTTGAAGAACTTTCGTCCCGTCTCCAACCTCCCCTTTGTGGGGAAGGTTGTAGAGAAGGTGGTGGCGTCCCAACTCTTGCGATCCTTGGATGAAACTAATTATCTGGACCCGTTTCAATCTGGTTTCAGGCCCGGCTACAGCACTGAGACTGCTTTGGTCGCACTGACCGATGACCTCTGGCGAGCCCGGGATAGGGGTTATTCCTCTATCCTGGTGCTTCTTGACCTCTCAGCGGCTTTCGATACCATCAACCATGGTATCCTTCTGCGTCGTCTCGGAGAGGTGGGGGTGGGCGGCACCGTATTGCAGTGGTTCTCCTCCTACCTCTCTGACAGGTCGCAGTCGATGCTGGTGGGCGGACAGAGATCGACCCTTAGGCGCCTCGATTATGGGGTGCCTCAGGGCTCGGTCCTGTCCCCCCTCCTTTTTAACATCTACATGAAACCGCTGGGTGAGATCATTCGGCGACACGGGGTAAGGTATCATCAGTACGCGGATGATACCCAATTGTATATCTCCACCCCGTGTCCTTTCAGTGAAGCAGTCGACATGATGTGCCGGTGCCTGGAAGATGTGAGGGTCTGGATGGGGGTGAACAGGCTTAGACTCAACCCTGACAAGACTGAGTGGCTCTGGGTCTTGCCTCCCAAAGGCCAACTGGATGGTCCATCTTTAGTCCTGGGGGGGGCAAATTTATCTCCCTCAGTGCAGGCACGCAACTTGGGTGTCCTCCTGGACTCACAGCTAAATCTGGAACAACATCTAGCGGCTGTGGCCAGGGGGACCTTTGCACAGGTTCGCCTAGTGCACCAGTTGCGGCCTTATTTGGACCGGGAGGCTTTACTCACAGTCACTCATGCCCTTGTCACCTCAAGACTGGATTACTGTAACGCGCTGTACATGGGGCTACCCTTGAAGGGCGTTCGGAGGCTGCAGTTGGTTCAGAACGCAGCCGCGAGAGCGATTGTGGGCGCGCCAAGGTACGCCCAAGTCTCAGCTATCCTCCGCGAGCTGCACTGGCTTCCTGTGGGTCTCCGGATGCAATTCAAGGTGTTGGTTATCACCTTCAAAGCCCTTCATGGCATAGGGCCAGGTTACTTACAGGACCGCATTCTGCCGCACAGCTCCCAGAGACCGGGTGAGGTCCCATAGATTGAGCCTCCTTCAGGTCCCGTCGGCCAGACAATGTCGGCTGGTGGGCCCTCGGGGAAGGGCCTTTTCTGTGGTGGCTCCGACCTGGTGGAATCAACTTCCCCCCGATGCTCGAACTACTCCCACCCTGCCGGCCTTTAAGAAAGCCGTTAAAACTCTCCTGGTCCGGCAGGCCTGGGGCTGATGTCCCCGGGGGGCCGGGATATGATCAGACTCGCGGTATGACTGGATTATTTTATTCTGTTATGACTGTTTTTAACCTTGTATGCCGCCCTGAGTCCTCTGGGATTGGGCGGCATATAAATATTTGTAAATAAATAAATAAACCTTAATTTAAGGGCAGGAACGAAGCCTTCCATTTAGTGGGGAGGCATCACTGGGCCAGGCCCCTTATACCCACATCCAAGGTGCCAGCAGCAGCAGCCACCTGAGTGGCCATGATCCCCCCTATCCCCAACCAGCCACCCCACCTACCCGACCTACTCCTCATCTGCCTAGCCAGCTGACACAAATCCTCACTGCTCTTCTCCTCCTCGTCCTCTCCACTCAAGGGCTCCGTCTGAATGCAAAGAAGTGGAGGCATAGAGCAGGATTGCTCTGAAGATGCGGGTGTGCTGCTTGCTCACGTGCGCTGGCTTTATTGAGAGCAGTCCTGCTCTGTGCATCCGCTTCTTTACACTCAGAGTGGAGAAACTCAGGCTGCTGCCACTCAAGCACTTTTTATCTGAACGGAGATCTTGAGGAAACTGGAAGGTCTGTCTGTGAACAAATGGGACAATTGAAAACACAGTGTTCCATTCTGTTTCTAAGCATGCATAGGCAGGCAAACGGACCTTCCAGTTTCTCCAAGTTCTCCAGATAAAAAGTGTTTGAGCGGCAGCGGCTTGGGTTTCTCAGCTTCGTCCAAGTGGAAGAAAGCAAAGTTGCAGCAGCAGGATTGCTCTCAATAAGGCTGGTGCACGCAAGCGAGCAGCGCACATGGGCCTTGTTTGAGAACAATCCTGCTTCTGTGCCTCCACTTGAGCAGAGCCCTTGAGGATGAGAAGAGTGGTGAGGATTTGTGCCAGCTGATCATGGCCACTCAAGTGGCTACCGCTGCTGCCAGCACCTTGGACGTGGGTGCAAGGGGTCTGCCCCACGATGCCTCCCTGCTAAATTGAACACTTGGTTCCTGCCCTCAAACTAAGGCCCACACACACCAGCAAGCAGTGCATCTGGGCCATGGACAGCATTGGTTCCTGCATGCAGCCAACTCCAATTGCACGCTTTGCCCCATAGGCATGCAAATGAAGCAAACACTCCCCCCCCCCAGAATGGAAGCTTCTGGGGGCCATGATCTCTTTTTCATTGAATGGGTGTTTGAACTCGCGTGATATTATGGCACCCAGGAGCTTCCATTATCAGCGTGAAAAACATTTCCAAGCTGACTCTTCTTTCCCTCAAAGGGAAAGAAACCATGGCAGAGAGGAGACAGATTTTGCAAGGTGAGTCTGTCATGGTAGGGAGGGGAATACATGAGGTACCTTAGTAGGTTGGAGAGGCCTTGGGGGCCTTTTGTATCACTAGACCCACCATGGCCTTCCCACCCTGAAATACCTCATGTGCACTTAGCAAACTGCACATTCGCCCATACATTCAATTAGCAAATCTGTGGGCGAAAGCAGGAAGTGATCTCATTCGAGGCATGAGATTCACTCCTACAAATTTTTGAGTTATGAGTTATGAATCAGGTCTGGGATAAAAAGCCTTACTGATAGCTACTAAGGGCCCACCACTGCTACAATCAGTGCTGTTTTTTCCTTATCAATTTTTTGAACAATTTGCCCAAATGGCCAAATACTTTCTAAATTTTGTTGTTAGAAAGGACTCAATTCACAGAAGGATTTCCTTGTTCTGAACGCTTTAAAATCAAAAGCTATTTATTACATTCCCATCACTTTCTTGTGTTTTTTTGAGGATGCCTCTATTTTTCTTTATACAAATGTGCTGTATGAAACAATTTTCCAGTCTTGCTTTTTCCATATTTATCCTTTGTTATTTCAGTTCTTTTGCCTGTTGTTGCAATAAATGCAGAAACTGGTTTGGTGGAAGTTAATTTGAAAGAGAAAAATCCTTTGACTATTAAAAAGCAACCAGTGGCAACGTCATTTGTGTTGTTTGAGTAAGTAGAGATCAAAAAGTGTATGTGTAGATTACAATAGACAATACCATTTTACTAGATAATCCCAGATTTATGAGCAGGTATACTAGCAAAGAATACTTGGTTACCTCTTCCTTTTGGAGCTCTCAAGTACTTCCAAAAAACATGATGTGAGCAGAGGGAGGGAGATTTATTTAAACATCCATAAAAATTGTTTTTGCTGTCCAGATATTCCTCATTTAGCAACTACAATTGGGGCCAGCAATTTAGTCATCAAGTGATGCAGTCACCAAGTGAAAAATCATGCTTACAATGTTACCTTAGCATCCCCCCTCCCCCTTTGAAGCATGCACCCTGGTGCTAGGATAATTAGCAAGAAGGGGATTAATCTTTGTATTTACATTCTTTGGAAAGGAAGGGATTACAAGAGAGTAAGCAGGGAATACACATCAAAAAGAATACCCTAGTACCAGCTGTATGCCTAGTCCACTGAGGCTGATTAGGAGGCAAAGAAAAGCTGAAGATGTGAAAGTAATTAAAGTCTTTTCATTTACAGGCAGCAACTAAAGTCACAGAGCTGACCTTAGCTTTGGTTAGCATTTTTCAGGGATAGCGTGGCACTGCAATAAAAAAGCAGTTCAGGAAAATATTATTTGTTTAAGCAATCTGTGGGGGAGAAAAAAATGAAAATGAGTCAGGCACAGGACAATGCATACTGATTCACTGTAATAGTGAACACATGACAGAGATAGATGCTGGAAAGGAATTAAATACGGGCATTTGTTGCCAAGTAATTTTTTTCATCAGTGTCATAATTTTAAACAGTCACTGCTCAAGGTAGTTACAAAGCAAGATCTGTGATCTGGAAATTCATCAAATAAAGCACACATCCTATAGAGCCTATTCAATCAATCAATCAGAATAGAGCTGAAAGGACCTTAGAGATTATCTAGTCCAATCCTTTGCTCAAACAGGAGACTATACCATTTCAGACAAATGGCTGCGCAGTCTCTTCTTATAGACCTCCAATGATGAAGCACCCACAACTTTTGAAGGCAAGCTGTTGAGCCACTCATCTTTGTGACAGCCCCCCAAATACTAGAATACTGCTATAATGTCATCCCTAGTCCTTTTCTCTAGACTAGCCATACCCAATTTCTGCAACCACTCTTCATATATTGTTATCTCCAGGCATCTTAGTTGCTTAATCATCCTAGTTGCTCCTCTCTGCACTTTTTCCACAGTCTCAACATCATTTTTGTAATCTGGTGACCAAAACTAAATGCAGTATTCCAAATGTAGCCTTACTAAGGTTTTATAAAATGGTACTAATACTTCCATGTAATTTTGATTCTATGCCTCTGTTTATGCAACCAAGTATTGTATTAGCTTTTTTGGCTGCCACTGCTAGCTTGTATTTAAATGATTGTCCACTAGGACTCCAAGGCCCTCTCACAGTTACTGTTTTTTGAGCCAGATTTCGTCTACTCTGTACTTGTACCTTTGGTTTTCTAGCCTAAGTGTAAAACGTTGTTTTTCGCCACACTAAATTTCATTTTGTTGGATAGAGCCCATTGTTCAAGTCTGTCAAGATCTTTTTGGATCCTGAGCTTGTCTTCTGGTCTTCTTGTCTTGTATTCAATTCAGGAAGGTTGTCTGAATGTCATGGAGAGGATGAAGTGGAAAATATTATATGCCTGCATTTAAATGAAATCTTTCTCACTAATGGTCAGAAGAAATTTATATAAATGAAAATGGGTCCATGCAGAATAGTGAATATGGATAAGATAGTTGCTCTGATAAGCTTCCAGCTATTTTTCTGAGAGAATCAGTTTAGTTATTTTTCACTCAGAGTCAGGCAGACTAAAGAAATCCTTATTGCCTAAAGTTAACAATATGTCTCTTAAATTAATTTCTTTGTAAGTCTTTGAATTAAATTTAAAATGGCTTCAGCATTGATGCTTATGCTAATAATAACAATCCAAGTGGTCTGGAAAGTACATAAATGAGCAAAAGAATCTGATGGTGCTTTTTTAATGTTGTTCTTTGTATTGTCTAATTCACTGGTCCCCAACCTTTGTGGTTGCGGCTTGGCTGGGGGAAGGTAGAGGGGAACCAGGCCGTATGAGCAGCAGGCTGGCACACACATGCGGGCACAGAGTTCAACTTGTGCAAGCAGCAGGCCAGCATGCATGTGTATGCGCATGCAGCTCGACTTGCGTAAGTCAAGCTGCATGTGTGTCCATACACACCAACCTGCTGCTCGTACAAGTTGAGCTGCATGCATTGCTGTGCTCGCAGGCCCACTGCTTGTGTGGCCTGGTTCTGAATAGGCCACAGCCCAGTAGTAGGCTATGGCTTGGAGGTTGGGGACCCCTGGTCTAACTGAACAGTAAATATATATATAATTGTTTTGGATTAAAAGAATCTCAGAAGTTTAATTTTGGCACTTATGTGTATATATCTTCAACAGCACATTAGTGGTAGTTGACCCAACTGCAGAAGAAGAAGACTTGGCATCTGGGACTTTAACTATTGTGATTATTGAAAATGACAAACTGTGTTCTGTTCATAAACCAGGTACTAATACTAAATTATTAAGGATTAGTATTTCCAAAATTCTCTAATTTAGTTTTAATTTTGTAGATGCCATTTAGGAGTATCAGTGATACTTCATTTTCCATTGCTACACTACAGAAATTATGTGTTTCAGTCATGAAAATTGAGTGGCGTGATGGCCTAGTGGTGAAGATGCTTGCCTCCTACTTGGAAGGTTGAGAGTTCATTCCTAGGCAGCAGCAGATGTTTCTCTCCTAGGGCGCAAAAAAACCCCCTCAAACTGTGTGTGGCATCAGGAAAGGCATTTGGCCAGTAAATACTTAGCACCATCCAGTCGCCCTGATTCTACCCCAAATTAAGGGATTACAGGGTCATTAAAAGGGATTTTTCCATGAGAATGTCTTGTTGAAGTTAATTCTAATAAAATATTTGGTTAATCACAAATATATGAATGTAATTTAATGGGCAATTCAAAAGCTTGGATAATATTAAATGCATTGTTTCCTTGTTTTCTGTTTCTTTTTAAGGTGGAAGGACAATAACAGAAGCAAAGCTTCAAGACTGTATCAGTCGGGCAAAAACACGACATAAAGAAGTACAAAAACTAATGGATAAAATAATCAAAAATGTATAATTAGTAAAAAGTGTATTTACTATTTGCTCACAAAACCATTACCTCAATAAACATGCTACATTTATGAAGTTCCATTATTTCATAATGCCATTTCAGCTTGAAATTTGTATAACATTTCCAGATGAATAATTTCATTTTAAAACAGTTTTCTTACAAATACCAGTCTCAGGTTTTCTTACAAATTTCAGTTGATTGCTATGCTTCAGTGTAGCTACAAATTCAGTTTCATTTTTTTTAAAAAAAGATGGTTATTGAATACATATATCTCTCTCAAATGCAAGTTTTGATATCAGTGAAGCTTTTTTTTCCTTTTACTTTTTGACTGGGTGCCTAGATGATGATGTAGTAGAGCTGCTTATGCTGCCAGTGCCATAACCATTTGATGGGGAAAGAACTGTGATGGTTGCCAAGAAAAAAAGAAAAAAATGTTTTATTTTTTTTAACTTTCATTTTTATCTTCAAAAGAATAAAATAAATAATGCAATATTAAAAACTACAATTTAGAGAATGCCTTCTCTATGTAATAATTCGCAGAAATGGTTTACTTAGTTATTAAATGGTATGGATATTAAGGTATATTAAAACATTCCAAGTAACAATAATAACAATAACAATAATAATAATAAAAAGTTGGAAGGGACTTTGGAGGTCATCAAATCAAACCCCCTGCTCAGGCAGGAAACCCTACACCATTTCGGACAAATGGCTGTCCAGTCTCTTCTTAAAAACTTCCAGTGTTGGAGCATTCACCACTTCTGGAGGTAGGTTGTTCCATTGGTTAATTGTTCTAACTGTCAGGAAGTTTCTCCTTAGTTCTAGGTTACTTCTCTCCTTGATTAGTTTCCATCCGTTGCTTCTTGTCCTGCCTTCAGGCGCTTTGGAGAATAGCTTGACTCCCTCTTCTTTGTGGCAGCCCGAGATATTGGAACACTGCTATCATGTCCCTCCTCCTCCTTCTCTTCGTTAAACTAGACATACCCAATTCCAGCAGCCGTTCCTTATATGTTTTAGCCTCCAGTCCCCTAATCATCTTTGTTGCTCTTCTCTGTACTCTTTCTAGAGTCTCAGCATCTTTTTTACACTGTGGTGACCAAAACTGGATGCAGTATTCCAAGTGTGGCCTTACCAAGGCATTGTAAAGTGGCATTAATACTTCATGTGATCTTGATTCTATTCCTCTGTTAATGCAGCCCAGCACTGTGTTGGCTTTTTTGGCAGCACACTGCTGGCTCATATTTAAGTGATTGTCCACTAGGACTCCGAGATCCCTCTCACAGTTACTACTATTGAGGAAGGTACCCCCTATACTATATCTGTACATTTGGTTTTTCTTGCCTAAATGTAGAACCTTACTTTTTTCACCACTGAATTTCATTTTGTTATATACCGCCCAGTGTTCAAGTCTGTCCAGGTCTTAAGCCTGTCTTCTGGAGTGTTGGCTATTCCTGCCAGCCTGGTGTCATCCACAAATTTGATGAGTTCCCCATCTATCCTCTCGTTCAAATCGTTGATGAAGATGTTGAAGAGCACTGGGCCCAGAACAGAGCCTTGGGGCACCCCACTACATACTTCCCTCTGGGCTGCTAGTTCCTTCTCTGTAGCTGTTTTCTGAGTTTGTAAATTAAACACAAAGGAGACAAAAGAGCAATTTTCTAATTTAAATCTACAAATTCAGAAAACAACTGCAGAGAAGGAACTAGCAGTCCAGAAAATAGAAGGAAAACTAGGGAATGCTGACACAAACACTGAGGATCCAAAGGAAGAAACTAACAACCAGACTCAAATAAATGAAAACTTAGAAGACACAACGATAATATTGGAAATGGAAAAGACATTTTACAAATCAAGGTTTCAAAACATACTGGAGGATAAGGAAGGAGAGTTGATGGAATGAAAGATAAAGTCGTTAACAGAATTGTGGAGAACTGAAGAAGGGGGGAGGCTGTTTAATGAATATCAATGGGCTAATTCTTCCAAAAATAATTTAATTAAATTGTTTCTCTTGTTTCAAATAATATATACAAAAATAGAGGAAGAATTATTTGATGATCCAAATGCACTGACTTGGAAAGTTAGTTGGCAAAGGAACAAAGCTAGAGTAAGATTGAAGGAAACAGAAGCTTTGACCTATTAAAGGGGATGCTAGATTACTAATTAGATATTTGAATATGATTAAGAATAGATTGTTAGAAATAGAAGTATAATTTTATAACTATATAGATAGGATTTGTACTCAGAATATCAAATCTTGGTATGAAAAGGAAAGTAAGAATATGCTAAAAACTTTGAATAAGGGAAGCTTTTGGTTACCCAAATATAACTTCTTCTGAAATTATAAATGATTGGGATACTTTGAACATGATGGGAAATTAAAATTGAAAAAAGTGAAAATAGGATATGGACTAAATAAATGGAATTGAGTGCAAATGCAATTAAGATATGTGTCAGAATCCAATTATATTTCATCTCTAGTTATCAACTATAGAAAACCCCATTTCTACCTTCTTTGGATTCTGTCATATGATGAAGGGAAGGGGGTGAACAAAGGGGCTTTATGGCCCTCATTTCCTTCAGTACACTTCAAAGGGACTGAATGTGGATATCACCAAAAGGACTAACCATAAGAATGGGGCTATTACCTTTCATGTAGTTCTCTCTGAAGTCTCCATCCAGCCGGCAGTAAGGAAAAGGAAGTGGGAGTGTAATGCCTGAGACTGTCGCTGGAAGAAGAGGGTGATTGGGTGGGGCTACTGGGGAACCCCTTAAAACCTTGAATGGGAGAACTTGGACCCCAAGTCCTGTCTAGAACACCTGCAATCATTTTCTCTTAATAAAAGATGCCTGTTGGAAGAATTATTCCAAGAGTTCTGTCTTCTTAAGATGCAAAGTGCATCCATGGGAGAGGAAAAGGGACTAACAGAAATACCAGAGGAATACAGAGACCTTGTTGAAGTTTTCAGTGAGAAGAGGGCGGATGAGCTCCCCCCCCACACCGACCTACAGACTGTGCCTTTGAATTCAAGCCTGGGGCAAAACTCTCGAAGCCCAGATTATACTCCATGAGCCGAAAGGAGAAGGAGGAAATGGAAAGATTCATTAAAAAAAACCTAGAGAGAGGGTTCATTGAGCCAGCCAAGCCTAAAGTGGCTGCCCCGGTCCTCTTTAGAGAGAAGAAGGATGGCTCTTTATGCTTATGCGTGGATTATAGGGCCCTGAATACAATCAGTGAAAGCAACCTATACCCTCTAGCCCTCATGAAAGACATGCTGTAACACCTCTCGAAAGGGAAATTTTTTTCTAAACTAGACCTAAGGGAAGCTTACTATCGCGTGAGAATTAAGGAAGGGGACGAATGGAAGACTGCATTTAACTGCCCCATGGGGTGCTATCAATTCGAAGTCTTGCCATTTGGATTACAAGGGGGCCCTGCAGTCTTTATGCAATTAATCAATGACGTTCTAAGGGAGCACCTGTTTAAGGGGGTCCTTGTTTACTTGGACGACATTCTTATCTTCACTGAAACAAAAGAAGAACATGTCAACCTTGTCAGAGCGGTTTTAAAGAAACTGCGAGCCGCCCACCTAACAAAAATGTGTGCACAATGAGAGACGGGTTGACTTGGGTAGGGGAAAAGTTATATATATCAACAACCCAAAGAGTCACATTCATGCAGCTTTGCCATGACACAAAATCAGCAGGGCATTTTGGATTTGTAAAAATTTTACACTTAATTAAACGGCAATTTTGGTGGCCATCCATAAAAAAGGACATAGAAAGCTACGTAGCCAGCTGCCCAAAATGTGCTACTGCAAAGAGTTTGCAAGGGAAATCGCCTGGACTATTACAAACAGTGGCAAATCCCTCAGCCTCCTGGAGGGAAATAGCCATGGATTTTATAATGGAATTGCCAGAAAGTAATGGGAATACTGTTGTCTGGACGGTCACGGACTTGTTTTCCAAACAGGTGCACTTTATCCCTTGCCAAAAGATTCCCTCCGCAAAAGCCTTAGCGAATCTTTTCATCCAGCACATTTACAGATTGCACGGGGCACCCCAATGCATCATCTCTGATAGGGGAGTGCAATTTTCATCTGCATTTTGGAAGGAATTTTTATCCCTTTTAGGAACCACTCAGGGACTTACATCTAGCCACCACCCACAGGGGAAGGGGGGGGACTGAAAAAATGAACTCAGTACTTGAGCAATATCTAAGATGTTTTCTTAATTTCCAACAGACCGGGTGGGCCGACTTACTCCCTTTTGCAGAAGTTGCCTACAATAATGCAGTCCACTCCAGCACAGGTTACACTCCTTTTCAAATAGCCACCGGTCAAAGTTTCAACCCCATGCCAGAATTAACCCCAAACGAACCAATGATCCCATCACTGAAAGAATGGATGGAAAAACTACAAAACACCTGGCCAATAGTTAGAAAAGCACTAGATGAAGCTAGGCAGGCATACAAAGCACAAGCCGATAAAAAAAGGGTTGAGCCTACACCATTCATTATAGGAGAAATGGTGTACTTATCTACAAAATACCTAAAGTCCCTACAGCCCTGTAAAAAACTTGGACCAAAATATATAGGGCCTTTTCCAATTAAAAGAATCATAAACCCAGTAACAGTAGAATTAGAATTACCAAAAATCTCAGGCAAATACACCCAATTTTTCATTGCAGCTTGCTGAAAAGAGAGCACCAGTCACCTTTACGGCCAAAAATCCCCCCCCCACCTCCAATCATGGTGGAGGGCGAACAACACTTCAAAATAAAGGAAATCCTTGACTCTAGGAGATATCATGGAGCGACTCAGTACCTAGTTGCCTGGAAACACCTCCCTGCCTCACAAAACGAGTGGGTCCATAAACGTCATGTCAGAGCCCCGAAGCTATTAAAGAAGTTTCACACAGAATATCCTAACAAACCTGACTAACTTTTATACCTGTTTTGTTTTCTTTCAGGTGGATCTGTCTTTTTTTTTAAGGGGGCAGGATGTCAGAATCCAATTATATTTCATCTCTAGTTATCAACTATAGAAAACCCCATTTCTACCTTCTCTGGATTCTGTCATATGATGAAGGGAAGGGGGTGAACAAAGGGGCTTTATGGCCCTCATTTCCTTCAGTACACTTCAAAGGGACTGAATGTGGATATCACCAAAAGGACTAACCATAAGAATGGGGCTATTACCTTTCATGTAGTTCTCTCTGAAGTCTCCATCCAGCCGGCAGTAAGGAAAAGGGGGTGGGAGTGTAATGCCTGAGACTGTCGCTGGAAGAAGAGGATGATTGGGTGGGGCTACTGGGGAACCCCTTAAAACCTTGAATGGGAGAGCTTGGACCCCAAGTCCTGTCTAGAACGCCTGCAATCATTTTCTCTTAATAAAAGATGCCTGTTGGAAGAATTATTCCAAGAGTTCTGTCTTCTTAAGATGCAAAGTGCATCCATGGGAGAGGAAAAGGGACTAACAGAAATACCAGAGGAATACAGAGACCTTGCTGAAGTTTTCAGTGAGAAGAGGGCGGATGAGCACCCCCACCCACCCACCCACAGACTGTGCCATTGAATTCAAGCTGTTGGAAGAATTATTCCAAGAGTTCTGTCTTCTTAAGATGCAAAGTGGGGTGGGTCCTTACAATATGCTTTGGTTGGAAAAACATTCTAAACTGATATTATTGACACTATTAAAAAAATGTAACAGATGTTGATATGCAATTGTATATATACTAACAACAATAAGAATTGTATTTGCTTAGTGTGGAAAAATGGTTATTACCAGAAGAAGAGTGGATGTACTGGAGGGTGTAATATCTGACTTAGTTTGAAGAAGCTTACATGTACCATGGAATCACTAATGGGCTCTTATCACATTGTGAAAACAGAAAATTAATAAAACATTTATAAAAAAAAATCACATGAAATGATAATGTCACTTTTTACTGCACTAGTGGGGCCACACTTGCAATACTGCATACAGTTTTGGCTATCTCAATATAAAAAGAGATGCTGGCTCACGAATTCTGGGAGTTGAAGTCCACGAGTTATAAAAGAGCCAAGGTTGCCTACCCTTAGGCTAGCCTAATAAAGACAAGAATTAGGTATGGCATGACAGCTGTCTTCCAGTACTTGAGGGGTTGTTACAGAGAAGACAGAATCAACTTATTTTCCAAAGCACCTGAGGGCAAGACAAGAAGCAATGAGTAGTAGTTAGTTATAGAGAAATCCAACCTGGAACTAAGGATAAACTTCCTGATGGAATAATTAACCAATGGAATAGCTTGCATCCTAGAGTTGTGGGTACATCATCACTGGAAGTTTTTAGGAAAGGACTGGACAACCATTTGTCGAGGATGATATAAGGTCTCCTGCCACGGGCAGGTGGCTGGACTAAAATACTTCTAAGATCCCTTCTAGTCCTTGTTTGGTTATGATTCGTTCTATAAGGAACCAGTGAAAACATTAAACCTGGAAGTCTGGCTTTTGTTTGTTCAATGATAAAACAAAGCTACCCATTTATTCATTTCTTAAGTGTTTTAATAAAGTGTATATACTGAACACAGTAAAAAAAACTCATATAAGGGCAGATGTGTTTGGAGTTGTATATTTACTGCTAGAATTCTCTTATAATAGGAAACATGATTTAAAAAATGAATTTGCACAGGAACATTCCATAAAGCTCATTCTTGAATACACGTACCTGCTGCCTGAGGTTGCATAAAATTCCCTACTCCAGTCAAGTTAACAACAGCAGTTTGCTGAGCAGATAAGGATTGATCTTGGTTTGGGGGGACTTCCTCAGAACCCTAGCAAAAAAAATTGATATATCAAAAAATATTCATGATCTGTATAGTTAATGTATTTATTTTCCTTTAGGAAGAAATACATTTCAAAGCTTTTTTTAGTTTGATACATAAATAGTGAGTTTCATCTGAAAACAAGATTCTTTAAATGAGGAAACAGCTTCAGTTATACTTCTTAGTGATTTTGCCATTTTACTGCACAAACTTTATTTTATTAACTGTGATGGATGTCATACACCATGAATTCTTATAGTTATTTTATAAACATACCTCAAACAGAAATTCTTTACTTTTAACTGTAGTTCAGTTTGTCATCTGTGTATTCATACTAATGAGGCTACAGCAATGCACAACATAGTTCTAGAAGGTACCAAAGCTAACCCTTAGTCAGAAATAACTCTCCTCTAATATATGTCTAAAGCTGAACTGAAACAGATCCAGATAATTTATTTCATCCAGATAATCTAGAGCTGGAGCCAGACCATTGGTTGCACCAACTTCCCCAGAAAATGGAGGGTGAAGACTGAATGGAAATATCCACGATCATTGGGTAGAGTAATGGACTCTTAAGAAGACAGCCTCTTTCAAGACTAAGGTGGATACCACTTACAATCACAAATCATCTCCTGGATGGCCTTGATCCAACCATGGGGGACCTGGATCAAACAAACAGGTGGATGAGCTCCCACACTAGAGAACCCCTGTCCACTTCTTTAGAAGTTACAGACTCTAAAGGTTAATTCTAGTTAACCTTGCGAGCCCCTGCCTTGGCATCTGTTGAGTCATTGTTCTGGAGCAAATTTATCTGCCACATAGGAGAAATATTTCTCACAGTGGGCCTGCACATGATCCTAGTGATTCATTCCTCCCAAATGGGGACAGGGTTAAATAGAGCCAGTAAGGAGCTCTCAGAAGATGCAATAAGGATAAAGAAATCATGTCATTTCACCATCCTTATCACCACAATATAATTCCTAATGTGGGTTCTTATTCATGTTTGGTCAATTTCACTCTTCATCTTCCTCCAAGGACACTAGATGATTCTTCTGGTGCTTCATTTCCTGGAATTCTTCATAATGTCCTTATATCAATGCACAGGAAGAGGCTACTTAGAGGCAATCTAAACCTCTGACACTCACCCATTCCAGGCTGTGGCCAAGCTCGCAGCTGGGCTGCCCATTAGCTGGACTCATGGAACACCTCAAGCTATTTCTGGAAACCAGCTGGGTCTATCAGGTGCTTAGGGTGAACTGTCCTAACAAGCTCTATTCCCTTTTGACCTGGGGTAACTTCAGCAGACCGAAATGCAATCAGATGTTCCAACTATGGCCACAGACTAATGACAATGTTCTCCAAAACCCAATCACATCACAACTATCCTGAGAGAAAAACAACATATTCCTGCATCCTATTTTCCCTACAACAACACTCTGAAAAGGTTTGGGCTGACAGAGAGTAACTGGCCCCAAATCACCCAAATGGATTTTATGCCTAAGGGAGCCCTAAAACTCACAGTCTCCAGGTTTCTGAACCAGCACCTTAACCGCAACACCTAACACCAAAAAGACGATTTTTAAAAAAAATTAAAAGTACAAACTAAAAATTGTTGTTGTTGTTAATTGCGAAGTCGTGTCCGACCCGTCGCGACCCCATGGACAATGTTCCTCCAGGTCTTCCTGTCCTCTACCATCTTCTGGAGTCCATTTAAATTCACACCTACTGCTTCAGTGACTCCATCCAGCCATCTCATTCTCTGTCGTCCCCTTCTTCTATTGCCCTCAATCTTTCCCAGCATTAGGCTCTTCTCCAGTGAGTCCTTCCTTCTCATTAGGTGGCCAAAGTATTTGAGTTTCAACTTCAGGATCTGGCCTTCTAAAGAGCAGTCGGGGTTGATCTCTTCTAGGACTGACCGGTTTGAACGCCTTGCAGTCCAAGGGACTCGCAGGAGTCTTCTCCAGCACCATAGTTCAAAGGCCTCAATTCTTTTGCGCTCAGCCTTTCTTATGGTCCAACTTTCACAGCCATACATTGCAACTGGGAAAACCATGGCCTGGACTATACGCACTTTTGTTGGCAGGGTGATGTCTCTGCTTTTTAGAATGCTGTCTAGATTTGCCATAGCTTTCCTCCCCAGGAGCAAGCGTCTTTTAATTTCTTGGCTGCAGTCCCCATCTGAGGTGATCTTGGAGCCCAGAAAAATAAAATCTGTCACTACCTCCATTTCTTCCCCATCTATTTGCCAGGAATTGAGAGGGCCGGATGCCATGATTTTGGTTTTCTTAATGTTGAGTTTCAAGCCAACTTTTGCACTCTCCTTCTTCACCCGCATCAAGAGGCTCTTTAGTTCCTCTTCACTTTCTGCCATTAGAGTGGTATCATCTGCATATCTTAGGTTGTTGATATTTCTCCCGGCAATCTTAATTCCAACTTTTGATTCATCTAGCCCTGCCTTTCTCATGATGTGCTCTGCATATAAGTTAAATAGGCAGGGTGATAGTATACAGCCTTGCCGGACTCCTTTTCCAATTTTGAACCAATCAGTGGTTCCGTGTTCGGTTCTCACTGTTGCTTCTTGACCCGCATATAGGTTTCTCAAGAGACAGATGAGATGGTCTGGTACTCCCATCTCTAAAAATACAAACTAAGAAAAAAAGGAAAAATCTATCTTATATTTTATATTTATCAAAAGTCACTGGTTTACCAATGAATTCACTGCTCTAAAATAAACAATAAAATATTACAATATTACTTAAAATATTACAGAATCTCTTGATCCATTCTGCTATAGTGAAACATATTGCTGCATCTGTAATATTTTAAGTAATATTGTAATATTTTATTTTGCCCTTCCAGTAATGGGAATACTTCCTGTGGCAAGGGTATGAGTTAGGCTGGCAACTTAATGAAAGTCTCAACTGAACAAAGCCATGATGATTAGTGAAATATTTTTATTTATTTATTAATTTACATTGCTATCCATCTCAACATCTCTGGGAAGTAAATAATAATAAAAATAAAACAAATACATATAAAAAAATTATAATTCACAGAAGTAAAAAAAAACAAAACAAGTTATCATCCACATGGCCAAAAGACAGGCCTCTTCATATGCTTAAGGCCCCAAGCCCAAATACGCAGCCATATCTTTAGCTTTACAAAATGCAAGCAAGTTAAGACCAACATAATCTTGGAGGGAGAATGTTCCAGAGTGCACTATGCAGAAAAAACTTATCTTCTGGGCCCCACAAGCCTGTATTCCTTAGCCAACAGGATCCAGAAGAATGACTATCTTGTAGGACTGATGGGACAGTTAGGAACAACTAGAAGAGGTAGACTCTTAATTAATTCAGCTCCAAGCCATGAAGAGCTTTAAAGATGACAACCAGCAACTTGAATTGCACTTGGAAGCACACTGACAACTAACATAGCTCATGAAGTAATGGTGTTGCATGTAAGAAACAAACCAGTACCATTAACTATCCATGCCACTGCATTCTACACCAGCTGCAGTTTCTGAATGCTCCTCAAAGCCAACCTGTAATGGTATGTGGGACTGATCTTGGGAGATGAAGATGACATAATCAAGAAAATACTGGAATGTGCAGAAATGGACAGACTCACATTGAAGATTAAAGAAAAGGAAGATAGAGTATTTTCAAACATTGGATGTATTTTACCAATAGCTGGCAAAATGGGGTAGAGATTAGGATCTTATTACATGTTATTAAAATAAGATCCAGACAACATGTTGTTTGTTAAGCACTTATGAAATGTAAACTTATAAAAAAATAAATAAAATATATTATATAAAAAAAACTATCCATGCCATTTCATTCTACACCAGCTGCAGTTTCTGAATGCTCTTCAAAGCCAACCTGTAATGGTATGTAGGACTGATCTTGGGAGATGGAGGAGAGATGCTGCCTAGATCAGATAAGAGAAGGCATAGCCCACAACTGCATAATGGGCAGAGAAAGAAACACAGAAAGAACCTCAGTGGGAGATTTGTACTATCAAACTTGCAAGGTTCTGTTAATGGTATTAAAAGGCTGTTGAGAGATCAACAACCAGGATGGATGTACTACCTTTGTCCTGCCCCCACCAGTTCAATCCTGATGGGGCTCAGAGTGGACTTAGCCTTCTGTGAGGACCCACCCCACTTTGCATCTTAAGAAGACAGAACTCTTGGAATAATTCTTCCAACAGGAATCCTTTATTAAGAGAAAATGGTTGCAGGCATGCTAGACAGGACTTGGGGTTCAAGCTCTCCCATTCAAGGTTTTAAGGGGTTCCCCAGTAGTCCCACCCAATCAACCCCCCTTCCAGTGATAGTTTCAAGTATCACAATTCCATCCCCTTTCTTCTTCCGTCTGGATGGAGACTTCAGATAACTACATGAAAGGCAATTACTCTTCTTTGATATGTTAAAGCTTAGAGGCCACAATAAACACACATTCAGTCCTTTGAAGTGTGCTGAAGGAAGTGAGGGCCATAAAGCCCCTTTGCTCTCCCCCTTTTCTCCCTCTTATGGCAGAATCCAGAGAAGGCAGAATTGGGAGTTTCTATGTTTGATAATTAAAGATGAAATATAATTGGATTCTGACATCCGGCCCCTCTTAACAATAAGAGAGATCCACCTGAAAGAAAACACAAGTAAAAAATTTAGTTAGGCTTGTTAGGATACTCTGTGTGAAACTTCTTCAATAGCTTCGGGGCTCTGACGTGACGTTTATGGACCCACTCATTTTGTGAGGCAGGGAGGTGTTTCCAGGCAACTAGGTACTGAGTTGTTCCACGATATCTCCTAGAGTCAAGGATCTCTTTTATTTCGAAGTGTTGTTCCCCCTCCACCATGATTGGAGGTGGTGGGGGGGGGATTTTTGGCCGTAGAGGTGACTGATGCTCTCTTTTCAGCAAGCTGCAATGAAAAACTGGGTGTATTTGCCTGAGGTTTTTGGGTAATTCTAATTCTACTGTTACTGGATTTATGATCCTTTTAATTG